TCCTGAGGAGGAGAGCTAGCTTGTTGGGGAGAGCTGTCCCTTTTCTTCTAATCAGGAATTCCTGTCAAGGGGACCACCCGGAGCTGCCTGAATAAAGACATAATTCTGATGATCTGTGTTACGCTAATGACAGAAGTGAGCATGAATGGTGCTCTGCTGTCCTGGCTAATAGGCTGCCTCTGGAGAGCAGCTCCCAGCCCTGGCCGGACCTCCATCAGCCAGCTGCTCCCCCTCCTCCACCCCACCTGGCTCCAGGGTAGAACAACCCTACTCAGGGACTCTGCTCTGTGTGTGTGTATGTGTGTGAGAGAGGGAGAGCGACAGAGTGAGACCGACAGACAGATCTGTAAGGGTCTTGTGTGATGTGTGTGTTCAAAGCCCTAGAATGCTTCCCTTTCCCCACCTTGTTTCTTCTTGTCATTCCCCAGCCTCCAACCCCCACCCCCACTCCTGCCCCCTCCTCCCGCTCCCCAGTTCTCTCAGGCCTAGCAGCTTAACTGAAGACAATGCTGAGGCAATTAATAGAGCCCTTTGAGGTCTTATCACTAGAAGGCTGTTTAATTCAGCCACCTGAGTTGGGGCCCCAGGCATGTGACAGGGTTGGGAGAAGTGTGCCTGGATGGGGGCGGGGTCAGCTGCCTGGATGGAGGGCAGAGGTACAGTGTAGAAACAGAGGTAGAAAGGCCGAGATGATGTGGACACAGCAGTGGTTGACCTAACCGTGGTGGTGGTTTTTCATTGTTTGTGGTTTCTCTCTTACTAGAATTTTACTTTGGCTAAACTGCTGCAGAACCAAGACCTGAGAGGTGGGATGCCAAACAGTGAACCTGCTGACTACATGGACCATCACGGGAAAATCTTCCCTTCTAGGATGTGGTCTTAGGGAGGGGACATCATGTGGTGACATTGTAAGTGTTGGGGGTGGAGGGTAACATGTCTTCTTAAATCTCCCTACCCTAACACTGTACTTCTGTTGGGGCTGGGGAGCTGGTGGGGAAAAAGGTCAGACTGACAGGCCAGAGCCACATAGGAGGAAGAAAGGATGAGGAGAAAAGAGGGGCCTGGCTCTCCAGGCCTGGTTCTGCCTGGCTCTGACTTCATGGTGTCTCTGACACAACCATTGTTTATAGCCAGGCCAGGCAGGGACATCAGAGGCCAGATATGGTGTGGACTCTGTCTATAACTCTGTGTGTGTGTCTTTAGAGGGTGTAGGTGTGTTGTGGGTGTGTGTGAGTGATATGGGTGTTGCGGGGGTGAGGGGGGGTATGTACTTTCAGGGCCTGCCCACCAGGCCCTCACTCTAAGACTGGCAGTGGGGCCCGCAATTGTCCCTCAAAACTCCTTTCAGAAGGCACTGTACTGCCCCTTGCTTTGGTCCTCTCCAGACCCTCTGTCTGCCACTAGGGGGCAGCAACCAACGCATGCCGGCAGCTTGAACTTCTCCAGCTGCACACACCTGGCATTCATGGGCCTTTTCATCTCATACTTCCCCATCCTTCCCAGACCCTAGGGAGATGCAGGTCCCAGCCATGTGGACCACAGGGACCACAGAGACCGACAAAACGCCTGTCCCTGGCCTTACTGAAGATGCTGGAGGGGAACATAGGTGACCAGACCAAAGCCAGAACCCTGAGGTGTATTCACTAGTTCCTATAAGGCTAACCATGGAGAGAGAAGAGGAAGAACTGAGAGGGCTAGGCAGGCTGCCAGGAGGTAAAGCAAGATCCAGCCCGCTGGCCAAATGGCATATGATGACTATGCAGACAGAACCACCCTGACAGCAAAAGCAGGTGACTTTAAGAAACCAGAGAAAACCACATGGGCTCTGGAGCCAGACTGCTCAGATTCAAACCCCAAATCCTCCAAGCACTAGCTGCCTGACCTTGGACAAGGCATCGAACCTTTCTGTGCCTCAGTTTCTTATCTGTGAAAAGGAGATAATAACAGTACTACTCCTACGTTGAATGTGAGTGTTAAACGGGTTAATACGTGCAAATCACTTACGACAGTGTCTGGCACAGAGAAAGAACCCCAATAAATATTAGCAGTTACTGTTTTTTGAGGAGGAGGTCCATGTGATATTGAAATAGCTAGTTTCCCTGAGAACTTCCTCATGAAATATTTGGGAATTGGCCCTCACACATGCAGGCATCAAAGTGTATTTGATGCATTTGAGTGAGTGTATTTGTAAAAGTTAAAGCAGTATGTGTAACATTGGGATGAATTTATGCATACTGAGGTCTGTGTGCCATCAAGTCAATTCTGACTCAGCAACCCTATAGGACAGAGTAGAACTAGCCCATAGGATTTCCTAGGCTATAATATTTGTAGGAGAAGATTGCCAGGTCTTTTTTGCCAGACAGCGGCAGAAGGGTTCGAACCTCTGACCTTTTGGTTAGCAGCTGAGTGCTTAACCACTGTGCCACTAGGGCTCTTCTACTGAGGTCCGTCGATATTTAAATCAGCCAACTGGTCAGTCACCTTTGAATCCACAAATCCTTCTCACTCTTGAAATTTTCGAGTCCCTTGAATTGAGCACATGGCCCTCCTGTTCCCTCCCATGCCTCTTTCAAGGGGAAGCCTGGGTTTGCCCCCCTTCTTGCTACCTCCATGCCTAAGCACAGCTCCCAAGGAGCCTCCCACAGCCCTACCCTGCCCTGCACTATTGGGTGGGCTTGATTCTTACCCTTCCTGGGAAATCATGTCTTCTCCCTACCCACTGTCCAAGGGAGAGCTGGTCCTTAGCCCTGGTTCCCAGGAGCCAGTTTTGGTTCTAAGACTGTGGGGGAGTGCCCAGTCTTAGAGTAACAATCCTGGTTCAGTCATAGGTGAATGCTCTTAACTTTCAGCCTCAAGATTTCCCTCATCTACAATTCTGGGGAGGGATAGGGATACATTGATATTTTCCTCCCTCCCTAGGAGGATAATATTTAGGAATAAGTAAGACCAATTGAGAGTTTACGGTGCCTCTACTCATTGATGTTTCCGTGACTCAAATACTCCAGTAGAGAGGATCTGTGCACGAAATTCCCCTATTGGGCCTCTCAGGGGTGGCCAGGTCACATGACCCAAGATTAGCCAACCTACCTGTCAGGCACTACCAACAGTGGATTTTCTCACAAAGGGACTGGGTAATCGACAGGAAATTTGAAGCATCCTAGCAGGTCCAGCAGACTTCCTTGTCTAACTTCACGAGGCGGAGAAGGTGGAATCAAGACTATCAGCCCAAGGCTGATGATTCCTATGAGGTAGAAGTCAGATATACCTCCTCTCTCCAACCTTTTTACCGATTCTGACACCAGCTGTCCCTCCATGGCACTCCCTACTTCTCTGCTGGGTTTGAGAGTTCATTGCAGTGGCCACACAGAACTCACAGTTATGGGGTTTATTAGGAAAGTACCAGGTTACAACTCAGGATCAGGATCGACAGGCTACAATTTGGGATCAGGATCAAGAAATGTCATAGATTGAATTGTGTCCTCAAAATATGTGTCAATTTGGCTAGGCCATGATTCCCAGTACTGTGTGGTTGTCCTCCATTTTATGGTCTGATTATCTTCCGTTTTGTGATGTGTTGTAAATCCTAGCCTCTGTGCCTGTGGTTATGGTCCCATTTGGGAGTGAGCTGTCCGTTATGTTAATGAGGCAGAATTAGGTCATCTTAATGAGGATTAGGGTGGGATGCAATACTCTTACTTAGGTCACAGCCCTGACCCGATGTAAGGGGAGTTTCCCTGAGGTGTGGCCTGCATTACTTTTATCTTGCAAGAGATGAAAGGAGACAGAAGCAATCAGAGAGAGGGGGACCTCCTACCACCAAGAAAGAAGAGCCAGGAGAGGGGTGCATCCTTTGGACCTGGGGTCCCTGTGCTGAGAACCTCCTAGACCCCGGGGAAGGTTGATGCCAAGACACATGGAGATCTCAAAGGAGTTGCCAGGCCCACAAATGATGTTGAAAGGAGACAAGAACCTTCCCCCAGAGCTGACAGAGAGAGGAAGCCTTCCTCTAGAGCTGGCACCCTGAATTTGGACTTCTAGCCTCCTAAACTGTGACAGAATAAATTTGTTTGTTAAAGCCATCCACTTGTGGTATTTCTGTTACAGCAGCATTACCTGACTAAGACAGGAAGCATGTAGACAAAGTCTCCCTTCTTCAGTGCAGGATAGCTCTCTCAGCTCCTCTCAGCTGTGCAGGGCTCCTCTCAGCCCCCTGAGAACAGGATCCTTTCGGCTTCCTGAGGATAGGCCTCCTTTCTTGGCCCTCGGCCTGGCCTCTGCTCTGCTCAGGCAAGTATTACAAAGCTCTTTTAGCTTTGCCGATAAGTGCCCAGGAGCACCCCACTCTGCCAGCAATCCTCCTACCTGAAGGTGCTCAGCTCTTTGTTGCTCCATGGGTCCACAGGCCCACTGTAGCCACCTTGCTCTGTGGATTGGGAAGCTGGCCATGCTATCATGCAACAGTCTTCTGGTTCTCTTGCAGCTGTTTCTCTGCCACCGCTTCTCACTGTCTTCAGTATTATAGCTCTCTCTGTCTACTTGGTCTAGGAGGTTCTCAGTGCAGGGACCTCGGTTCCAAAGTATGAGCTCCGTTCCTGGCTCTTCTTGATGGTAGTGAGGAGGACTCTTCCCGCCTCTGGGATGGCTCATTTTAAGCCTAGTGGAATGGCAAAACTGTCCAATACCCTCGTTAGGGCTCCATATACCTTATTTGCATAGTCCCACTCCCATAAGGGTTCCAGTCACCTTACTTGCATTATTAGCAGACTATCCAATCCCCTTGGTGGGCCACAAGCACCTCATTTGCATAGTCCCACCCAATCATTGTGTGAGAGTCACAAAGACTATGGCAAGAAGGGCCATAGTAAGTAAATCACTGCACTGCAACTACAAACATTTTAATTTTAAACTTTATTTTTGAATAGGTAGTAGATTTACATACATCAATGTTTTTAGGATATAAAAAGACATACATGGAAACTCTCTACTCTTGATCCTCCCCACCGTCACCCCCAGTTCTCTTCCTAGGGCCAGCAATGTTGCTATTTTCTAATGTTTCCTTCCAGAGATATTTTACACAAAGAAATAAGCACATAGATTTTTTTCTCCCCATCCTTTTGCTTTTTCAAAAGGAGATCCTCCTATGTGGGTACATTAGGAGCATCCTCATTTTTTTTCTGTCTGTACTTTATGAGGTACCAAAATGTACTTAACCAGTTTCCTATTAATGAACATTTAGGTCGTTTTTAGTCTTTTACAGTGTTGAATGAAGAGACTTGCAAATAAGTGCATGGTCCTTTAAGGTCCCCACTGGTCGTTAAATGCATCCCTCAGGATTTCTTAAGTGGAATCTGAGAACTCCTTGGAGGTCTGCAGACAGATTCAGGGAGACAAATTCAAGGAGCCTGGAACCTTGGAAGGGAGAAAACTTCCATCTTTATTTTCCCCAACCTCTAATTGAAATTTAGCATTTCACATGAATGCAGACAACAAACTTATAGCAGCGTTAGCAGTATCTGTGACTGTCTCATATGATTGAAGATGTCTTGAAATATCATTTACATTCATCCCTACTTTGGCATTAAGGTAGGTAGTTATTTTCAATATGTTGTACATTAATAAAGAAGCACATACACTATATCACAAATTTCGTTTAAATATTTTATACCGGCATTTCAATATAATTGCTTTTCTTTGTAATTTTACGTATTTATTTTATGCATAAAAATATTATTCTGAGATAAGAAACATACCAGACTCCCAAAGGAAAAGGTTGAGTCCCAGCTACACATACTTTTTTGCATGTCCGGCCACTAGATGGGGAACTTCGTGGCAAGGACTGCCCCGTTCCTCTTTGCCCCCTCCCTAACTTTCCCAGAGATGAGCAGTAAATGCTTTCAGCGCCTAGTGGACACCTTTTGCATGCCTGGCACTGGAGGAGATGCTAATGATACAAAGATGCGAATACACCTCAAAGGATCTCAGCCTAGAGGTACAGTTAAGCCTGAGGATGACTGATGAAAGGCACCCCAACTTCTATGTTGCTTCCTAGATATGTGACCCGGGGCAAGGTAACCTCCCTTGGCCCCAGCTTCCTCATCTATAAAACGATCTATGTCATCGGATCAATTTCTACCATGAATATATGGCATTTAGCACACTGCCTGGCACACGTTAAAAAACCAAACCAAACCCGTTGCCGTCGAGTCGATTCTGACTCATAGCGACCCGGTCCCTGTTACCTGCAGTAGCAAGGAAGCCCTGTGAGGGAACCTGCCAGGAACTTCCGGCTGGACGTTGCTGGGGAGGCGTGAGACTGCTCACCCCTGCCCTGGACCCCTCTCCTAGGTGGCGTCGGAGTGTGCCCAGAGGCGCGGGGGGCTACAGTCTGAGCTCCTGTATGAGCGCCTCGCCCCCGCCCCTCTAGACTGTTCCGCCTCTCTTGGGCTGCAGTGGCGGACCATTGCCCCCGTGCGGACCGCGGGAGCTCGCCCTGCCACGGGGCAGCGGCAGTTGGCCCTCCTTGCCGGCGGGCGGCGCTAGGCCGGACCTGGCCGGGGGCGGTGCTCGGGCCGGGCTCCTCTCCGCAGCCGCGCACGGCCGTCTGGCCGTCCGCTGGGCGGGGACGCGGCTGCAGCAGCGGCTCCGTGTTGCCGGAGCCGAAACACACAGGCCCGTCTCGGCGGCCGGGGGGCGGGCGGGGTAGGGGCGCCATGTGGTTCATGTACGTGCTGAGTTGGCTGTCGCTTTTCATCCAGGTGGCCTTCATCACTCTGGCCGTCGGTGAGAGTGCGCGACCCCGGCCCGCGCGGGCTTCTGCCCCGGCATCTGTGCTCGCCGAGGGTCGTATCTCGAGGGCGCTGGGGCGACCCCTGCCCTGCGCTCCCTACCTTGGTCGCCCCCACCCTCCGCCCTCCTGTCACTCCTGGTCCAGCCCCTCCTACGGACCCCAGCAGCCTGGCCTGTCTGCCGGTCTTTCCATGTGTACAGAGTCCGCCTCAGTAGTGCCAGGGAGATGTGGACTCGAGTGCTCCTGCCTATGCCCGCGAGCCACCAACCGCTGTCGCTCCCACCCACGCGGATCGACCGCGCCGAACTTTTCCCCGGCTTCTACCGCCGCCCTTTAGCCTCTGACCGCCTTCTATTTGTGCTGTCTGCCTTTGACACTCTTTCACTCTCTGGCTGGTTCCTACTCCTGATCGCAACTGAAATCTCACCTCTTCCTGAAAGCCCTCCTTAGGGGGTTTAATGTTCCAGAAGTGTCCTGTACTTCCCCTAAAGTAGCGTTTCTCACACTGGCATCGTCTGACTCCCCTTCCTACTCACTGCTTCCCCTCCCCCAACCCAGCTGGATGAGCGAAGGGACATGTCTGTCTTTTTCTGTAGTATCCTCCATTCAGCCCAAGGCCTGGCCCATACGAAATGCCCAACAGATAATTATTGAGTGAATGAAATTCCGCTTTCTGGGCCAGTGGTTAACGTTGTATTGAGGCATCAAATACAGGCTTCCATTCCCTTTTATGAAATCTCCCCTTAGTTTCCTTGATACAGTTTTACTTTTCCAGACTTGGAAGGGCAATGCATGGGTTGTTTGTTCCTGACCTTCTCCAGTCCATGAAGGGTTGATAGGGACCTAGCTGCAGAGAGGGGGATGACCAGGATGGTGGGAGTAGCCCTGGCTAATATTCTCCCTTCTTGCCCCTCTCCCCTTTCTCCCAGCGGCTGGACTCTATTACCTGGCAGAACTGATTGAAGAATACACAGTGGCCACCAGCAGAATCATAAAATACATGATCTGGGTAAGTGGCAGCTTTTCCCCTTCTCTTTTTCACCCTACTTCAAAACGAGGAAGTGGAGAAAGTTTGGCATGGATGTGAGACCTTTGTCCCTGCTGTTTCCTAAGGGTACCACCCCTGCCTCCCTGGCCTGTACCTTGTCTTATGGGTCTGCTCTCAGTACCAGGTCTTCCCTGGTCTCCTTCCTGAAGTAGCATTGCTTCACTGCAGGCCTAGTTCTTGGTTCGTTAAGGTAACAGCTGCGTGTACATTCTCTGTTGACAGGACCATGGCTTTGCCACTGCTGTCTTCCACTGTCTGTAGCCCCTTGCTCTGCTCACAGCATTTCAAACTGAGAGGAACCTTAAGGACAGTTTTGAGTACTTGCTCATTGACCTCTTTCTAATACGATTAAGTGACTTCTTCTAAGAGGAGAGCACCTTCCCCGGGCCTGGCACTGCCCTTCCTTCAGGAAGACTTCTCTTCCTGAACACATTGCTGGTAAAGCCACAGGAGTGACTGCTGGTGGGTAGATTGCCACCAGTTGCAGGAAAAGCTTGGGTTGGGGTCGGAGGAGTCCAGTGCCCCTCACATGGTGTCAGCAGCCGTTTCCACTCTGGACATGGCCTGGGGTTGGGAGTTAGTGGTGGAGACAAGACCATAGCACTTGGCTGTGGGTTCAGAGGTCTGGCTGTTAGGTGTTGGTACAGGAATCAGACTTCCATTCAACCATCATTTGTTAAGCCCTGACAACTGTCAGTCCTTCAGAACAGTCTTTTCAGACTGCAGGTATGATTTTATTTTCAAGTTATGTAATCAATTCAATAGATCATGGTCGGCATTTAAAAGAAAAATGGAATAGAAAAGATTAGAATTGAAATTTGAGCTTGATCACATGTATGTATATGTGTTGAGACCATGGTATAAAATGTTTTTTTACTGTGGGTTGCGGTCAAAAAACTGAGAAATGGCATTAAAAGATGCTGCCCTTGGGGAGCTGAGAGTCTTGGTGGATTAGCAAGACTTGTGACTGTGAAACAAGAAGAGAGAGAAGCATGTACAAGACAAACTAGTGCTGCCCAGAGTGAACAGGGGGCTGGTGAGTTCAGGAAGGCTGCCTGGAAGAGGCTCCTTGAATTGTGTGCCTCTGGTTGTTTCAGTTCTCCACGGCTGTGCTGATTGGCCTCTTCGTCTTTGAGCACTTCCCCACCTACATGATTGGCGTGGGCCTCTTCACCAACCTCGTCTACTTTGGCCTTCTCCAGACCTTCCCCTTCATCATGCTGACCTCGCCTAACTTCATCCTGTCATGTGGTGAGTGGGCACAGAGGAGGGGAGGCAGCTGAGGTGGTTGGATGTGCCATCTCAGTCTTGGGCACTAAAGGGGATACATAGAAAGGAGGCAAACCACTGAGGTCCTCCAGGAGGCCAGGCTGATTGGGAAGACTGAGTCCTCACCCTCAAGGAGCCTAGATCCCACCCTGGCTCTACTGATGAGCATTTGTGGGTGAGTTGGATCAGGCAGGGAGGGCTTTCCCAGGGAGATAAGTTCGAAGAGGAGTTTGGGAATGGAGAAGAGGTTGTAGGTTGACTAAGGCAAGGCCCCAGGCTGAGTAGTTACAGCCTTAAAGAAGTCACTTGGCCGGGAAAAGCCAAGCCCTTCTCTGGCTGGCAGGTGGCCACTGTCCAGTGCTCTGGCCCAAAGCCATGATTAAAACTGGAGCCTCATGGGGCTGTGAGCCCCCTGCAGACACTGGCCTGAGAAACAGCTTTATTTTCTGGCTGCCTTTCAGCCTGGACTAGTGTGAATGCCACATGGTGGGGGGGGGGTCCCTTTTTTAGTCTCATTCTCATTGGCTGCAGTGCCTGGGGGTTGAGGAAAAAGGAATGTATTTGGAGGACCCTGGGCTTCTTGCCTTGTTGCTGCCATCACTTTCTGACCCTAGGAAGTCACTTGCTTCTCTGGGCCTTTACTTCTCCATCTGTTCAAAGATAATATGTTCCTGACTGAACTGTTGGGAGACTCAGCTGGCACATAGTAGGTGCTTCTAGATATTTGTGGAAAAGGTTTTGGAAAGTACTTGGTTACCAGGATTGTCATTTCTCCTGTTAATTGTTACTGATCATCTTGGCCTTTGGTCAGGCTATCAGATGGAACTGGGATTTTTTAGCGCTACTTTTCTACTTCGGTGAGAACCTAGAAGGAGAATCTTACCTACATGGAGGGCACAGTGTTAGAGCCAGGATTGGTTTCTTCTCTGAACGCCCTGGTGTGGTTTCACCAAAAAATTTGTTCAACAGGGGTTTGTGTGGGGAGCCCTTCTGTATCTACTGGTCGGGGGGTTCTTCCTGTTTATCCCCCATCCCCCAGCAGGCTCCCTTGGATTCCTTTTGTTCCTCCCTGTCCTTCCCTTCAGATGCCTGAGAGAGTTTTCCTGCAAGATCTTGTGGGCGCCGGGCACCACCGTATCTTCCAGTATCCCTTAGGCCTAGAGTGTGGCTAGGCGTGGCAGAGGTGTGGTTTTTGCCTTAGAAGGGGAGAAGGAAGAGAGGAGAAAAGAGACATGGCAGTTGTGTGGTGTGTGAGCGGTGTTCAGTTTAGGGGTATGTGTCTTTTCCAGTGCCTGCCCTTTACCTTACCATGGGAACAGGCAGTGATGTCTGTCTGTAGGCAACCTGGATCCTCAGGCACTCACCTACTGTCTCTCTTTCATAGATCCTGCTGCACAGTTAGGAGCTGTGGGTCCAGAACTGACCAGTTCAGACTAGGGTGACTTCCTCTGGGGCAAGATGGGGAAGGACACCCCCCTCAGAATTTTGAGGAACCCTGAGACTGCACCCCATAGCATCTAGCAAACTGCCCTTTTATCCCTGAGGAATGATCGCCACTTTATTTGGGGACCTTCTCCCTGCTGCCCACTTTGCAGTGGAATCTCTTGGGGGAATCTGACCTGTACACCCATCACTTCCCTCTACCCACTGCCCTTGCGGAGCTCTTTAGGACTCATACCCACTAAAAACCAGGTTAATTGTCAAGAAATTTTGGTTCTCTAACACCGGAGTCTCATTTTTATAATATTTAGAGAGCTTTCTTACCTACCTTCTAATTTTACTCTTAAATGCTCTCTGCAGTGGGTAGGTTAGACAGATGGGAAACTGAGCTCTGGAGAGTAGAGTACTTGGTCCAGAGTCATCCTATGAGTTGGGTATAAAGTCACGACCAGGACTGAGGGCTCCCAACTCCCACGAGCCTTTTGAAGGTTAGAAGTCCAGCTTTGTGTTATTCTCCGAAACTGACTGACTGTCCATTCCCTCACAGGGTTAGTGGTGGTGAATCATTACCTCGCGTTTCAGTTTTTTGCGGAGGAATATTATCCTTTCTCAGAGGTAAGAAGTGTTCAGTAAATCAAACTATTAATGATGGGGAGGGAAGAGGACTTGCATGATTTGCTTTGTGAACTTAGGTATGGTTTGAAACTATGAGTCTGTGCAGGAATTACATGTTAAAAAACAGTACAGATGATTTGAGAAAGCAGTGTGAGTGAGGCACAGAGGGAGCCCTTTGGCTGAGGCAGGAGGGTATACCTTCCTCCAGTGGGTCCTCTAGGTTCCCCTTCCCTGGATTCCAGCCTAATGTCTTGAGGTCAGGAAGAGGCACTGGGGTGCCCTCATAGGGCAGGGGTGGCCTGCAGCCCTGAGCCTGAGCTCCCCCCAGTGACCTGCCAGGGTTTTGCCCTCTCAGGATTTCTCAACACCCTGCTGCTCCCGTTTGGAGCCTCAGGGAAGAACAAGGTCACAGCTTTGGGGAGAGTGAGTCAGTCATGGCTTTGCCCTCCATCCATCTCCTCCAGTTCAGAGTCGTTGCTTGTCCTAGTGACCCAGATTTGAGGATTATGGCCACACTCGGTCATCTCAGCCTCTACCTTTCCCCACTGTATTATGTCCATGTCGGAGGATGTCCCGTCCCTGCTTCCCGGGCCCTGGTCCCCTTCAGAGTCAGGCGTGGGGCCTTCCATCCACTCTCGACCGCCTAAGCCACGACGAGCACACCGGCACTACCCTTGGCCCCTCCGGACGCTCCCTCTTCTCACTCTGTCTCGTTGCCAGGTCCTGGCCTACTTCACTCTCTGTCTGTGGATAATCCCATTTGCATTCTTCGTGTCACTGTCGGCTGGGGAGAACATCCTGCCCTCCACCATGCAGCCAGGAGGTGAGAAGGGGCTTGGTTGTAAGGGACCAAGGTTGGGGGTGCCAGCAAGACCTGAGTTGGCTGAGGACCAGAGCCAGCCCTGTGGTGGAGACTCATGGCCTCTGTGTTGAAGGAGCTGTGGTTCACACTCAGACACACACACTTATTTCCCTGCCTATCCTATGTCTCCACAGATGACGTGGTCTCCAATTACTTCACCAAAGGCAAGCGGGGCAAACGCTTAGGGATCCTGGTTGTCTTCTCCTTCATCAAAGAGGCCATTCTACCCAGTCGTCAGAAGATATACTGACCCCCTTGGGGAGGGGATGTGGGGGCAGGATCAGGAGGGTGTCAGACCTCTGGGCCTCTGCACTAGGTTGGAGCCGTGAGCCTGGAAGGCACCTCCCCCCAGCCCTGGCCCTCCTCCCCTTGACTCTCCCTGAAGCTCTCATCCCCACCCTCCTTGAGGAGCTCAGCCCAGCCCTGACACTGCTACAGGCTGTGACCTCAGAGGGCACAGGGAGGGTAGTAGAGCCTGCTTAGCCAGGAGGCCGTGGTCCACCTGGTTGTGTGAGAGCAGAGTGCCCCGTGGCCCTCCCCTCACCCTTCCATGGTGGGTCAGGAGGGTTCTGGCTCTGCTGGAGCAGGCAGGGCAGGGTTCCTGAAGCTGGAGAGCAGACAGTGACAAGTTCTCTGGGCAGATGGCCGTGGGGAGAGGCCATGGCTTGGCACTTCCAAAAGAAATACTTTTTGCTGTTGAACTGTGATTTCTGTCCAAGTGCTGAATCCCGTTTTGAATAAAGATTCTAGGTGGCACTGTTTGCCTTAACATCCAGAAAGTTCATCTACCTTTCTTCTTGCTGACCTTCTGCGCTGGACTGAACTGGCTTTTCTGCTCCAGGGACCCCTTCTTCAGTTTTGGGTCCCTTCCTAAGGGACTGTTCTTATAGCCCTTGGTGGGAAGGTGGCAGGGATGAAGAGCAGAGCCTGGTCAGGGGTGGGGAGTGCAGGCAGCTTTTCTTAGGCCCTTCCCTTTGCTTCCATCTCTCCTTTCTCCGAGGCTCCATGTGGAGCCCTGGTGGCACAGTGTTTAAGAGCCTGCCTGCTAACCAAGAGGTTGGCAGTTCACATCCACCAGCTGCACCTTGGAGACCCTATGGGGCAGTTCTGCTCTGTCCTATAGGGTTGCTATGAGTCGGAATCAACTCGACAGCAACGGTTAAGGCTCCATGGCTGTCAAGCTGGGAGTAGGAGAGGGGACAGTTTAGGACTGGGTTAGATTTTCAGAACATCTGCAATATCCTATTTATAAGTTTTCCTCTGAGGAAAATGAGTGGTTTCTGGCTGAATTCTATCTCAGGCTCAAGGAGAAACTGAAGATAAAAATTGGCTTCCAGGCAGCCTAGGCTATGGCCCGTTTTTGAAGAAATGGGGCTGGTGGGGAGGTGATTTGTCACTCTAAGGGCACACAAGGGCTGGCCCTCTCTTCTGTGTGCGCTTGGCTCCTGGGGAGATGATCTCAGCTTTCTAACAAGACGGGCCAGGCCCCAGGCACAGACCAGCATTTGTTGACCTTGCACTCTAAGTACAGTGCCTTGCGAGTACTCAATAGTATATATTAGAACGAAGTCCCCATGAGAGCCATTACTGGCCATGTCCTATACCTCAAAGCCAGGCGGGCAGGTGTGGAGACAGACTGCACACATGGAGTACCTTGAAGCCACTGGGAAGACCCATGTGCTGGAAAATCTTTACATCATGCCTGAGGTCCCACCATAGCCTTTAGCATTTCCCATTCTCTTAAAAATACCAGCCTTCCCCTTTCCCTGGGAGGAGTAGCACATTCTGGTCTTCATCTGTCTGTGGGAACGAGCTTGTCAGCCCCTTTCCTTCTGTGCAGACAAGGACAAGGTAGAAGACACTGGGGGCAAACCTCATCTTCACCAACGGTCTGGCAGCTGGCTCTGCTGTCTCCTGCTGTCCACTTCTTTGTCCCTCACCCAGACGATGTGGCTTTGCCCCCTTCTACTCACTCCATTGCTCTCATGGAGATTGCCAGTGCCCTTCCTGTGCTACAACCAGTGGACCCTCCCAGTGTTTTAGCTAATGTGGCTGATCACCCCTGCTTCTTGAATCATACTTCCCCGGCCTCTCTGGCATAACACTCAGCTGGTTTTCCTCCTACCTCGCTGGCTGCTCCTTTCAGTCTCCTATGCAGGCTTCTCCACTTGCCCCATGCACGATGGGGCTTCTCAGGGTTCTGTCTTGAGACAGGGAGCCCATCCATGCTGGTGGCTTCAAGGACTCTGCCAAGCAATCGAGAGTTGACCTCCAGCGCCAACCTCCCTCATGATCTTCTGAAATTATGGGTACACAGACAATTCAGGTTCATGGCCCAGGTGGCGCTTGTTGCTGTCCTCACAAACCTGCCCCTTTTGGGTACCTGTCTTGGCCCGAAGATCACTCACGAGCCAGACCAGAAACCTGCTTTCCATCCCTGCTTCCTCTTTCTGCCCTCACACCCAATGTCTACAAACTGTCAACTCTACCTTCTTAACATCTCTTGATTTGAGCTACTCCCACTGCCATCAACTTTCACCTGAATTTTTTGTGACAGCCTTCTGCTTCTCTATCCCATGGCCAGAATTGTCTTTCTAAAATGCACAATTGATCAAGTCACTCCCTTGCTCAGAACCTTCCATGGCTCCCCACTCCCCTCAGGATAAAGTCCAGACCCCTTAGCATGGCTTGTGAGACACGTGTGTCCTGGTCCCTGCTCACCTCTCTGGCTTCATCACTTCCTTCTTGCACTCTGGGTACCAGCCTCCTGTATCCAGAGATGCCATGGCACGCTCCCTCTTGCCACTTTGATTCCCCTTTCTTCCACTTACGTGGGTAACTTCTCTGTCAACTTAGATTTCACTTCCTGCAAGCAGCTTTGAACGTTCCCTACCCCACCCCCACCCCACCACTTGGATCATTCTGGGCTTACTTTTCTGCTTACTGGTCTGTCTCCCACTAGACTGTAAGCTCTTTGAGGGCAGGGACTGTCCTTCAGTTTTTGTATTAACAGTGCCTGGCTTGCTGCCTGGCACATAGAAAGCACTCAATAAATGTTTGTCTAATGAATGAATTGTCGTGATGCGTACAAGGGACAGCAGGGAATCCAGGATCGCTTCCTAGAGGAAGTGTAAATGCTTTCACGGTTTCAGACTGAAGCCAGATCCTCCCTGTCCCCAGATATGCTGTGCTTCCCTCAAATGCAGAAACCTCAGCGGCAGCTGGAAATGAGGGATGGCCGCCCACGTAGAAGGGAAGCCCATGCCAGGGTGACAAATTAATTGTTCTTTACCCAATTCTGGACCTAGAGATGAAGAGTGAGGCATGGAGCCTGAAGCAGGAAGGACCTAGTCTGAACAAGAGGCAGAATTTCTCAGTGGTCCCTCTGTCCTGGAAGCCTTGTCCCTTGTGGGTGGGTGGGGGGCAGTGGGGACTACAAAGCCACTTTTACAATGCTAGGCCCCTGGAAAGTGACTGATGCCCCACTCTGAGCCCTGGGGTTCTTTCCTAAGCTGGATCCCCTCTGGAGCCCAAGATTGCTTTATAGAGAGAAGGCAGCCCTGCGAGCTAGCCTGTTGGGGAAGGGAGCAGCTCCTGTCCTTCGGCTTGGGGGTGAGGAGCCAAGTGTGTATGCCACCCCCACCACCACCCCCCGGCAACATGGAATTGTCACACCCAGCCTTCACTGAGCTGCCTCAGGACCAGAGGCTACCAAAATAACTTAATGGGGAAACTTAGGGGGAGGGCAGGATGGGGAGTCCTTGATGAGCACGCAGGGCTGTCAGGAAGGTTTCATCAAATGTCTCACGCAGGTTCATGGCCACAGTGTCTGTCCAGAAGGTGTTGTTGCCCAGGCGCCACTTCTGGGGCACGTCCCTCAAGCTGACGGGGTAGAAGCCCTGGGGTACCTTCATCCTATATGGCTGCTGCGAGGGGTACAGCTCACGGACCACTACTTCAAAAGGCAGCTGGGGCACGGGTGCCACCAGGCGGCCAGTGACTGTGTGCAGCAGCGCACCTCCTTGCCTGTCCGGGCTCACCTTCACGAAGTTGCATAAGTCGTGCTCCCGGGTGGGGTCTGGCTGCACGCCCAGGCGGATGCCCTGCAGGTAGCTGGTCTTGGTGGTGGGGAATCTGGCAGGGTTACTGCATTGGTCCCACAGCATGGGCCGCGTGACTGTGGGCAGGCTGTACAGCAGGGATGTTCGCGCTACCATGGGCTGCAGCGTGGGCTGCGGCTTGTGTCGCAGGCGCGCCTCCAGGAAAGGATGCGACCCAGGGCACTCGGGGGTCTTTGTAGGGGCAGTGGCTGAAGGTGAGGCACCAGGCGCCTGCTTGGTTTTGCTGGCCAGCAGCAGCTTGCAGCGGAGCCACTTCTTGAAATCGGCTTCATTCAGGGCTTCACACTCTTTCTGCAACAACAGAGGGCACAAGACAGTCGTGGAGGGCTGTTCCCACTGTGCTGCTGGGGAAGGAGGCCCTGTGGCTACAGCTGTTGTAATCTTCTAGTCTAACTGACCAGATACAGTCCTTGCTCCAGAGGAGTCTAATGGGAGAAACACCTGCGTTATGGGGAGACAACTTTTGCCCTAAGGGAGCCCCTGGGTTGATGGGGGAGACAAAAGACTCTCCCATAGGGGAGCTACTGCCTCCAGTCTAGGTGAGGCTTCCAACTCTGCCCTAGGGGAAGCCTCCAGTCTGGTGGGGGAGATGACCCCAACACTACCCCCAAAGTAGCCCCTCATCTGATGGTGGAGACATGTCCTGCCCTAGGAGAGTCTTTGGTCTGAGAGGGAAAGGCAAATGAGAAGTAAAAACTACATCCTTGATCCTGGAAGAAGAATACCAAAAGGTTTGTGCCTGGAACTGGACGGAGCTAATCTGTTTAGGCGTCTTGGAAGTTGTGGGCCTTGAGAAGTCAGGAGGGGAGGATACACTTGGCTGGCTCTGCAGGCTGGGCAGCGATGACTCAGTCTAGCTCTGACCTTCACTGGAGTTGAACCTTCAACTTGTCGTCACAGAAACTCTCCCCACTCCATCCTGTTGTCTGTGTCTGCAGCCTCGGTTGCTAAGGTGGTTTGGAGATTGACCCAGCTCCAGGAGTAGGCTCTGATTAGGCTAAGCCAATCATAATAATGCCATCAGCTTTGCCTCAGAACTAAGTCAATCAGCATATGACTTTCTCCTAGCTCTAGGTAAGTGAGAGATGAGGGGAGATCCGCAAGGGGCTTCTGGGAGAGTTTAGAGCCCCAGGAACAGTGTAACTGAGGGCTAGGTGACACTGACAAAGAGGAGTATAGGGCTGAGAAAATGAGAGATGGAGCTGGAACAAAGCTGGAGTACTAGACTTAGCCAGCCCTGAAGTACTCCCTACCTCTGGACTCTGCTTGTGATCCCCAACACCTTCTTTCTGGGTTTTGCGGTTTTTGCATCCTATGTAATTACACCTGCTTAAAATCCTGTAGTTACTCCCTCTTTCTTTCCCAGCTAAGGTCCTTCATGGTCTGGGCCCTTGCCAAAGCTCTAGCTTGTCAGTCTCCAACACGCACCTGATCCCCCTGCCGTACTGAATTTGCACTTCTCTGCATACTCCATGCTCCTGTGTGCCCCTGTGCTTTCCTACAGGTCAGCCCTTCTCTACTTCACATGGCCAACTGCTGCCCATCTTTAAAGACCCCTCTCAAGCATCATCCCTTCTAGGGCACTCTTCCAGACCGCCTCCTCCTCTCTGGGAATATAACCTGCCTCCCCTACTAGATTGCAAGTTCCTTGAGTGTGGGAACCACATCTTGTTTGCGTTTGGGGCCTCAGGGTTCAGGTGCCTAGCACAGTGTGGGTGCTCAGGGTCTGTTGGAAGGAAGGATGGATCTTTTTAACCAGAATATAAGTCCTGGTAGAGGCAGGGCCTGGGTCTCAGAGGTTCTCCTCCTCATCCAGCAGAAGGTAGTGCACTAGGGGGAGCTCCATGGGGTCTCCATGAGTTGGAATCTCATTGACAACTGGTACTGGTAACTGCAGCTGTACTTGCTTTTTAACAGAGGACAAGACTTTCGACCTAAAGGAGTGGGTTATAATGGTGGAATTTCAGCCAGAGTATGGGTTAGGGGGAAGGCTCTTTCTGGGAGGGAGTGCTTCTAACCACACTATGTGGGTCACTGCCTCCTCTGTTTACATGCCTGGGTAGCATCTGATACCTGGCACCCCTGCCCGGCCTACCCCTTACTTGATACTCAGTCAGGTAATGCCGCTCCAAGAGGATCAGCCTGTCCTTGAGCCTCTTCAGGTCCTGCATCTCACGGGCAAAGTCCTTCTTGTCCCGTTTCCACATGGCATCCTTCAAGAACCTGGTGCAAAGGTAGGGGTGTGTCATCCCATAGTGACTGAGCTTCACTGTGGGCTGGGAAAACTGCCAGCTTCTGAGTACCTGGATAGGGGTGAAAGGGAGCTGCCAGAGACGAGCAAGATGACCCACTCCCACCGCCCAGGGCCCTCTGGCTAACTACTTCCTTTGAGGTGAGAGGAAAATGTCTCATGGCCTCACCACCCTTCGGCTGAGGAGCCAAGGGCCCTGGGCAATGAAGGAGGGCAATGCTAAACCCAAAGGGGTGAGGCCCTGTGGAAAGGTCTGGGAATAATACCCTGGGCAGGGGGCCTCTTCAGCAGACTTACTCCCCAGCCCATAGAGGACAGGCCACCTGGCTTCCCAGACTCTTAAATGCTTAGCCTGGGGAGAAAGCCTTAGGGAAAGGGCTGGGAGAGAAGGAGAGGAGTAGCAGGCTGTGGGTGGTTCTCACACCCTCACCGGGCACAGGTGCGGTGGTTCCATATTTTGCATAAGTCGATGGGTTTGCAGCCCGTGGCATCTTCGGCATGGACATTGGCACCATTCTCTACCAGGACCTTCAAACAGCCCAGCAGGCCCTCACGGGCTGCCACATGCAGGGGAGTGCAGCCATTTTGTGTTTGACTGTAGGGGGGAAGAGGGCAAAAAGGAAAGACAAAAGGCATCTGCCCATCAGATAGGTGGGCAACCCACTCCCAGGCCCAGCTCTGCCACCAGCCCACTGGGTGTCCTGGACCACGTTCCTTCTCCTCTCTGTATCTCCATTTCCACGACTATAGAAGGAGGGATTGGACTAAATGGACAGTAAAAGTCTGATTATAAGAGGTTATAGAAGGTATATGACAGTTCAGAACTGCTGGAGGGAGAGCTGGGTTGGCGGGAACTCACAGACTTTGCCTTATCCACTCTTAAACCAAGCACTGCAGCGCCATAGCTCATAGGCCTGTACAGTCTGCCCCTGCCTTTTCCTCCGTCTCTTCCCTTGACCTTGCCCCACTCCTTCCCAACACGTGGCCTTTGTGCAGGGTGCTCCCTCTGCCTGGAATACTTTTCCCTGGCTCTTTGCATGGTTGGCTCACTCTCAGTCTTCAGGTCCCAATTTAAATGTGCCCTTCTTAGAGGTGACAGCCCCTTCCAAATGAGAACCTCTGCCCTCTTTACTCCCCACGCCATCACCCTGCTTATTCCCTTCATAGCCAGTTACCACGTTCTGCCATTATTTTATTCATTTATTAGTTTGCTAATTTGCCGTCTGCTTCTGTACTAGTATGTCAGCTTCACGAGGGCAGGGACCATTTCATGTGTTCACTGTTGTTATTCTCCAAACCCTGGCATAGTGCTTAGCCACAGTGCATGCTCAATAAATACTCTGAATGAATGCAGTCTCTTATATGCCAGGAACTTTCCATGCAGTTCTCAATCATCACAATAGTCCCACGTGATAGGTACTACCATCCTCACCATTTCAGTTGAAGACACTGATTCAGTGGTTCCCAAACTTGGCTGCAAATTAGTAACACCTGGGGATCTTTTAAGCTTCCTCCCCCCCTACCCTCGACCAAAGCCCACCATCTCAGACCAATTATATCACAATCTTTGGGTTGGAACACAGACATTGGTATTTTCGAAGCTCTCCAGGTGATTACAATGTACAGATAAGTTTAGCAACCACAATCATGAGGCTTAGAGGTTGAGTGACTTGCCCAAGGTCCTGCTGTTTGCTAGCAAGCGGCAAAGCTAGGATGTGAACTAGGTCTGTCTTCTCCCAAAGCCCAATCTCTTAACCACTACGCCATGTGGGCACACTGACTGCTTCATGTGAGACTCATTCCTTGTCACCCTCCACAGGCCTTCTGCCTGTCCTGCATGGGTCTGCCTGCCTGAAGAGGGGTTCCTGCCTGCCCAGCCTGCAGGCCACCCTCCTGATGCTGCTTGGACTCACGCGTTGATGGCCGCCTTTTTCCTGAGCAGATAGTGAATGCAGGGGAGGACCATGGTCTTGTTGTCCCTGTGGACAACTAGGTGCAGGGGGGTCTGGCCATTGTTGGTGGGTTGGTTCACAGGAAACTTGTACTCCTCCACCAAGACCTGCAGGCATGCAAGCTTGCCCCGCTGGGCTGCAAAGTGGATGGCGGTGAAGCCCTGTAGGGGCCAAAAGAGGGCAGGGGGAGGCTGAGCAGGATTTGGGGCCCCAGAGTCCACAACCTAACCTATATAGCAACTTCTTGGGATTGCCCTTTTCCCTGTGCCCCTGGGAACTGCTCACTTCCCTCTCCCACTCCAGGTGTGTGCTCATCAGCTCACCCTACCTCGCTGACACAAAGTGGCCCTTCCATGGCCAGAAGGTGAATTAGGATGATCTACACAGAAAAGGACATCTCTGGATGCTCCATAGTCACATCTTCTTCTGGAGGCCACTATGTGAGGAGCTCTTTGCAGGGTAGGAGGGAGCTCGGTCCTTGTCCTCACTCTCCAAGGCCTTCCTTACCTTGCTGTCCGCTGGGATTTCCCCAGTGTTTCGGTTCAGACAGAACCGCAGCCATTCTACGTTGCCCACCGCGGCAGCGAATAACTCATAGTTGCCAATCTCCCCCTGGTCGGACTCCTCGTTGAGGCTAGAGTGAACGCGGGACAGGAGGTGAGCAAGGAAGGTGGCGGGGTGCCCCCTCGGGGAGGCTGGGGCGGGGCTGCGGAGGGGCGCCTGCGTGGACGAGGCCAGTCACTTGCGTCCGGAGGCGTTTCTGGAGGCGAGGCCAGGGCTGCCTGGACTGGAAGGCCGTGAGGAAACGGCTCGCCAAGGCGCCTCTGGGGAGGTGAGCCCGGCCTCCATCCCGCTCCCCGGGCTTCTCGCTCCGTTCGGTCGATCCCCGCCCGCCCCAGGCCCTGCTCCTCCAGGAGCGCCGGGGGACGCCGAATGGGTCTCCCACGCCCCTGCCTGCGCTCCCGCAGCCGGACTATCTTTTCCCCGGTCCCACCTGAACTGCCTAGAGGCCAATTCACCACGGGTGGCCTTCGAGAGGGCTTTCTCCGTCTGCCGCATGGTCACACGTGGAGTTGGCCAGGACTGGGCTCCCCCGCCTCGCCGCCCGCCGAGAACCGCCGGTGCCGCAGGGCCCCCAGCAGAGTCATCAGGCGGCCGGAACTCCGAGCCGGGCGGGGCAGGCCTTCTCCCCGACCCGCCACGACCTCCCGGCCGCTCCTCCGCTGCTGGCCTCCCTGCCCCGGCGTCGGTGAAGAACTGGGCCCCTCTCTCGCTCGAGGGGCGGAGCCCAGACCCCTCCCGGCCCCGGCCTGCCTGCGGCTCCCAACCCGCCGCGGCTCGGCTTTGGGAGAAGCCACCTGGGGCGGCTTCTCCCGATACAACATTCCCCATCCCAACTGTCGCGGCCCACTGGTCTTGGAAGCAACGTCAAACACACTAATAACGACAACCACAAGAAGACATTTATCTTTCGTTTCTGATTATAAAAGTAATAAATGCCGATTGTAGAAAACAGAGTACCGTGAGGAAATGAAAAATCATAATCCCACCGCCCACAGAAATCAGTCTATTGGGATAGATATACATATCGTATATGCATTCTGGTTCCTCTCCGTTTATCGCAATATGATGAACTAGCTCCCAGGATCATTTCGGGTACTTAACATACGTTATGACGCAACAATATCCCAGCCATTGTAATGGATGTGCTGTAATTTTACGTGTGCTACAAAAAACATACTGGCTCATCTCTGGTTATTTTGTTAGGATGGACTCCTGTAAGTAGAATTACTAAGTCAAAGGGTCTGAACATTTTTTAGCTGTTGATAACCCAAACCCATTGAGGTCGAGTCGCTTCTCACTCATAGCGACCCTGTAGGACAGAGTAAAACTGCCACATAGGGTTTCCAAGGGTGTAACCCTTTACGGAAGCAGACTGGCACATCTTTGTCCTCCAGAGTGGTTGGTAGGTTCCAACTGCCGACCTTCGGTAACTGAGCACTTACCACTGCGTCACCAGGGCTCCATTAGCCGTTGATACATGCTTCCAAATTGCCCCCCAGAAAGATGTGATACTCATTCATGCTTCCACTTGGCAGTGAAAGAGATTCATTGACTGGGCAAGTAACTGGGCCTGTGTGTCTTGGTTTCTGCATCAGTCAAATTGGGATCATAGTACTTAGTTCACAAGGCGTGGAGCAGTGTTAACAGTGTAAGCAATGAGAATGGCGCTCGCAGAGGAAGTGCTATGAATTTGCTATTATTAAAAGAGGAACTATTCAAACCATTGCTAGCATTTGGATATTGTGATTTTAAATCTCTGCTTACTAATTTGGTAGTGGAAATGGTGTTCTTATTTGACTCTTTGATTACTAGAAGGGTTAAACATTAATTTTTATTTATTAAAAACTAGTAAACAAATACAATTTATTTTCTTTATAATAGATTATTAATTTATTTTAAATTATCTTCTGTAAGCTCTTTATTCACATTGTTCTTGACAGTCTTACTGTGTTTCTTATTGATTTGTAAAACTTATTAACCTAGTAATCCTTTAGTACAGGGAGCCCTGGTGGCACAGTAGTTAAAGAGCTCAGCTGCTTACCAAAAGGTTGGCTGTTCAAATCTACCAGCCCGCTCTGCTAGAGAAAGAAGTGGCAGTCTGCTTCTGAAAAAATTACAGCCTTGGAAACCCTATGGGGCAGTTCTACTCTGTCCTATAGGGTCACTATGAGTCAGAATCCACTCAGTGGCAATGGGTTTGGTTTGATTTTTTTTTTTAACCCTTTAGTATGTTATATTTGTTGTCAGTACTTTTCTTAGTTTGCCTTTTAACTTTTCACAACACACTGTAGCTGAGCAATAAATGTTTATTGAATCCGTGTTGAGCCTTATCGAACCATCCACATCCCACTCCTCAGGAGGATGACACCAAGCTTATCACAGAGCTACTGACACCCTGGTCAGCTCTGGGCATGCCTGACCACACCTCCCACTTTTCACCACTTTCTTTCCTGTGCACCCCAACATGCAAGTATTTCCCCTGGGGAAATCTAAGGAGGGGAGAGGATCTCTTAAAACCATTATGAGTCAAGCAGGGACAAAGATTCAGATTCTCTACCAAGAAATGCATCTCTTTTCCAGGAAAACCTTTTCCCGGAACTCACTGCCCCCCCCATCCTCAGTGGTCAGTGCCCCTCCCAAGGGCCTTAAAAACCAGCAGATTATGCTAGCTATCTGGTCCAGGTGGGGCCTTAGCAAATGGCTTCAAATTAACTTAATTAATTAATGTAAGGTAATATAGCATTGCTTTGTAGGGACAAAGATTTCCTGGTAGCTGGGGTATTTTGTCAGCTACTGTTGCTTCTGGGGTATTCGGATCTTAATAATGATGACAAGACCCTGTGTATATGTTGAGGTTGGAGGGTGCGTCTCAGGACCTCTTCAGGTTCACCTGGGGCATCTTGCAGTCTCTGTACGGTGGTTTGCAACCCTGGCTGTACATTAGAATCACCTGGGGAAAAAATACCAATGCAGGGGTCTCATGCCTAAAGATTCGGATTAACTGATATGGTCTGGCGCCTGTCAGTTGCTATTTTGTAAAGCCACCCAGGGGATTCTCACGTGCAGCCAGGGTTGAGAGCCACTTTGAGGCATTCCTGCCTCAGTCCTCTTCCTGGAGAGGCTAGAGGGTGCAGGTGATCCTGAGGGGGCAGAATCCTTCGGAGGAAAGGATGTCCCACCCTAAAGACCCCTTGGCCATAGCCGTGCAGCTGGGCAGGGAGACAGCACCCGGTATAACAACAGAGATGGGACCATAGGGAGGGCTTGTTGTTAGGCGCCGTGAGTAGATTTTCAACTCATAACAACCCCATGTGACAGAGTAGAACTGCCCCATAGGGTTTTCTAGGCTGTAGTCTTTACAGGAGCAGATTGCCAGATCTTCCTCCTTCAGAGCTGGAGCCGATGGGTGGGTTCGACCTGCCAGCCTTTCAGTTAGCAGGCGAGAGCTTAATAACCGTTGCAGCACTGTTACCCAAAGCTGGTCCTGCCCGGTGCAGCTTCTCATCAATAAAGACACACTGAGGTGAGGAGGGAGGAAGAGCGTTTATTGCAAGCAGGCAGGCAAGGAGCAAGGAGGTGTATACCTCAAATCAAGCTCCCTGAACAAAGGGAGGCAGAACCTTTTATACCGTCCTTCACAGGAAGTACATTACAAACATCACGGACCACATAGGTTATCATGGTGTGCAGGCACAGTAAGACAAATTGCATTTTTTTCTTTAACTGTACAGAAAACGGCACATAAGTCCCACCCTGGGTGGAGATTTTAATATTCAATTAGGTCTTAATGAGGCTTAAGTTACTTTAGGACACTTTTTTTTTGACTGATTTAAGGTAGAAACTGAGCCACACACAGCGCTATCACTCAAGGTCTTGATGATAATGGACCGGAGGAACAGGTCTTGCTTGATAACGACTGAGCAGCTGTTGGCTGTGCTTGCTCTCACCACCAGGGCTCCTTATGGGGAGGGCAGACAGCAGAAAACTCCAGGGAAAGATTTGATTTCCTCTCTAGAAGGGTATAGCAAGAATATGGCTCTGGGGCAGCTGATGTCTGCAGTTCCCAGGCAAGGGAGATGGAAGGTTGAGGGGAGGAGGCGCACATACAGAGAAATGGAGACAAGACCTAGAGAATGTGTTGTCTCCTGGTTCAAGGCGCAATGCCTGCTCCTTCCCCCACTCTCTAAACCACCTCAGGTTCCTTTTGAGGCTTAAACTAGTTTGGATTGAGTTTCTGTCACTTTCATTTGCCTGATTAGCAAAAATCTCCTGAGGTTAAATCCTCCTGAGGGTCAAATAATTGGTATCAGTGTAATGGTCCTGAAAGGAGCTGTGTGGACCAGGGGACTGTGAAGCTCCAGGGGACATTGGAACCTGTCTTGGTGCTGCTCTCCCAAGGGCAAGCGTGTATCTCAGGGAAATGGCCAGGTAAGGAAACTAAAGAATTATGCTTTAAGTGCTGGGCCAGTCTGGGCAGTGCACACCCTCAGATGGGCCTAGGACGGGGGTGGGGCGGGGGGAGGCAGGCAGGCACTCACTTTCACTGTGGCCTGGCAGGGTGCTTGCCCAAGGATGGTAGCAGAGAGACAAGGGATCTTGGCTGTGAGCAACTGGAGTCCTCTGCTGGTGGGTCTGGGTTCTGGTTGTGGTAGTAGTTAGGTGCAATTAATTGTTAAGTGCTGGGCTGTTAACCAAAAGGCTGGTGGTTTGGACCCACCCAGTGACTCCACGGGAGTAAAGACCTGGCCATCTGCTCTGATGAAGATTATAGCCTAGGAAACCCTATAAAGTCGCTATGAGTCAGAATCGACTCAGTGGCACACAGCAACAACAACAAACAGGACTGACATTGGTCAGCACCCTGGGGGATTCATTTGTAGTTGTTAGGGGGAGGTAAACACTCCCATCTAAAGGGAGAAGGAAGCTGGAAAGGCAAGTCCTAATAGGGTGGAGAGGGAGTGCCAACATCGTGGAACCAGATTTGGAGGAAGGCAGGTATCTGGGTACCATGTGATGGGGATGAGGGGCCTGCTCAGGACAGGGACAGCAAACCGTATCTCTTACATCAGATTCCCAAGTTGTGTGCTCACTTCCCCAGTGTTCTCCCCATATCCTGAATATGAATGGTCCTTTTCTTCAGCCTCAGAGCAGTTCCAAAGGATCAGCAGAGCCCTAGCTGGGCTGGTATCTTCTCCCCTCCACGAGTCTCATAGATCAGTTGCCTTGAGGCTTGGTTCTAGGTGAGTTATTTAGTCAGACTAGCAGCTGAGTATCATGCTTAATTCACATGATCCCATATGGGACCCAAAATGTAATTTCAATGTTTCCTGGACTGCTGAGATCAAGCCCCTCTGCCTAACTTCTACTTCTGGAGTGGTAGCAGTAAGACAGGGCTAGAGCCATACAGCCATTTTTCTTAGCCTCAAGACAGCCCCTCACCCAGTCCATTTCCTAGATTTCCTTATTTTCCTCCTCAAAACCTCCTTAAAGAGAAA